TACAAATTTTAAGAACAAATAAATTTTTTCTGAAAAGTTTTATATGAACACCGCTTAGGTGCGTCAGAATACCCCCCCTCCCTTATGTGTTTATTAACAAAAAGCCAACAGCACTTCAACAGTGGCTTAACTGCAGTTATCTAGAATCTATTAATACGTATTCATGGAATTTTAGTAAACATACATGTGCGCTATTTTATTGCAACTACGTTCTATCACCTGACACATATATAAATTTTACTGTAATAACCATGTATTAAACTGCAACTTTCCGTGATCGTTCCCTGATCGTACATAAGAATTTAATAAGTTTTTTCCGTGATCGTTCCGTGATGGATCACCTAATCGTAGGGATCAAGACTGGCCCGCATTAAAATTTATGCGGTGTTACCTTCATGCAGAATTAATTCTCACGGTCGATTTTTGATTATAACGATACGAATACTATCTAGAACCTTTTCCTTATCTTATATGGTCCCGCGATAAGAAAAGTACGAATAAGGGTTAAAAATATTATAACGGGAAGTAGCTTATTGTTCTTTATCAGAACCTTTATCAAAATTCATATGTCGCAGGAACTTGGCATTCCCAGATCGTCGAGATCGTTGACTTTTTTACTTCTCAGGGGAGATCGAATCTAAGGGGGGTTAATTTTCCCAGAAAAAATAACAAAATAGATTCAGCATTTGGAACTTATGACCGAATAGACTTGCTTTACATGGTGTGATCTAGATTGAGTTACCTTAACTCAATTACTAATCATATAACTTTTTTTTCTGGCAAGTTTTTAGATCTTGCGAATGGACGGTATAAAAATAAGCAAGTTTCCACCTAAAGATAAGTTAGCAATAACGTTATTTTTGCTCGTATATATTTTTGGAAAAAAAGTTTAACATAAGTTACCGGCAATTTAGTTCTAAGGTAATGTTTTTTTAGCAGAGCTGATCAGAAAACACCATCACAAGTTCATGTATTAATAGCCTTGTTTTTATCAACAGTCGTGATGTCCGCAAATATTTTCTCATATAAGGCGGGAGAGACAGAAGTCTTTGATACTGGTCGTGATAACATCCGAGTAAAGGTCGAAGAGTTAAACGAAGACGTCGCAAGGGTTATTCTTGTAGATGAAAAAGGAAATCCAATTAACATTGCAGAGGAAATGAAATTTATAAATAAGGCGACTAAAAATGGAATATCACCTGTGGAAGTTAAGGGTCAAAAAAGCTATCTTATAACTTGGATAAATAGCTATGAGTTGCATGTAGGTAATCAAAAAATTTTTAGATTAGAAGCACAGAGAGGGCATGTGAAAAAGGAAAATCCAAATCTTGCGAAATATCTTGTAGAAAATGACCAGTAAACTTTTTTTTATTTGTATTCGCACCTGTAACAGCGATATATATATTTTTTATTTGTCCCAGCAATATAATTTTTTATAATAATAATAAAGGGAGGGACCCACTGGGCTCCCAATTTTTTATTTTTACGCGATCTTTTACAGTGTAATTTGCAATTATTAATTAGTGGAGACACAGGTAGAAAAGTGTCGATGTGAAAAAAAAATTGATCCTGGCTTAATATGCGTATATTGAACGATCTGATTTTCTATAAGTTTCGCCGGTATTTAAATTGTAGTAATAACCTTCATCATCATCAGAAAAACCACAATACCCTCCACCATCATTATCATCATCTTCGTTGTTATTGAAGGAATCCTCAACATAAGAGATGACGAAGTTTTCATCTATGCTTTTACAGATACTATTGGGGTTCCACGATTAAGAGAATCCTTGCATTTGATACGATAAGTTCGTTCTCCGCAATAGTCACCAGCACCCCATTCACCTTTTATATCATTCCATAAACTCTCTTCTTTATGGTCTCCATTACATAAGGGACAGAGTGTTGAACTATCAAGATTAAACCACTCACAACGTTCACTACTATCTCTTAAAGATGAAGGAAAACACTCTAACACCAATCCAATGATATGTTTTCGTTTTTCTTCTGGATCATCAGGTAAAATAGAAATCGGGAGTCTGGATTTGTTAGATAATCCTACCTTACTGGAAGAAATTGTAGATGATGTACTCACCTCAGTTTTGGAAGTATTGCCTGGACTCGTCTTACTTGAAGAATTAAAGTCATAAGAAACAGGAAGAGGTGAGGTTGATTCGATTACCTCAGCTGAAATCGCCTCCGTTGCATCTGTTTGATCATCCAAAATCTCCTCTTCGGAATCGATATTAGAGCCTTCTTGATCATCTGGTAATTCAGTGTTGGGGTTCTTGGAGAAATAATCAATAATAGTTTGAATCTGGCTAACGGATAAATCTGCGATAGCATTCGCATTATACGTTTTGATATACTTGATTTTATCAACTCCTATTTTTTCGGTAAACTCATAAACCTTCCTGGCTCTATTGATGCGCTGATATAAAGTATTTCGTTTGGTGTCAGGATTGTGTGCTAGAATAAAATCGTAAATCAGTCCTTTGGCTTTTTTCGTACCCACCTTTTCTTTGATCATAATTTCACCTATACTATTATCCAGTCCTATAATAAAATTTCTCCAGCACAGAATTTCCGCCTGATTAGCCTTTACCCTTTCATTTTCCGCAGTACATGCATTCTCATATAAGCGGTTTATATTTTGCAATACGTCTGAACTTGATAACTCTGCTAAACCTCCCTGGGACTCTATCTTTTCTTGGCAATTATTTTCCTCACGGCCCGTAAGCGAAATTTCCGTCATGTGCGAAGCGCCTTCCGGCTGTTTTTTCTCGGACCCATCCATGGTAAAATCAAATACATCCTGCACGATATTTTCTGCTTCTAATTTCTTCTTATGTGATCGAGATTCTTTGTCCTGAGTTACAGAAGAGGTGGGGGGTTTACTAAGTAAACTCACATCCCCAGATAAGTCCTTGGTAGATGATTCACGCAATAATTTCTTTTCCCTGTTCCTCTGCCTAATCTCATTACTAACCTTTTTCTTGTGCACTTCATCTAAGAAAGAATCTGTTTTCTTATCTTCTGATGACTTGTTGTCCGTGTTATTATTAGGTGCTGATATCTCTGGTAACACCTCTGGTATCGCTTCCTTATCATTCTGTTCCACTATCGCGAGCCTAGCTTCTAATTTCTTTACCTTGACATCACGCCTCTCATTATTTTCCTCATTCGCTCTTAGAGCCTCGGCATTCCTGCGCTTAAGTTCAGCTATTTCAGCATCAAACACTAAGAGCTTGTTCCTAAGATCGGGGATCTCAGTATTCTCCTTCTTAAGCTCTGCATTCTCAGCCTTAAGCTTGGCGTTCTTAGCTTTAAGTTCAGTGATACGCTGTTTCAATACTTCAAGCTCGGATGCCATGATCTATATAAAACTAATATACTGTATATAAGCGTTCAAAATAAAAAATATAATATATGCTTTTCCCTTACGGCCCGTAAGCGAAATTTGCCAAGAAAAATTTTTTATTAATACATACGAAAAATAAATACAAATGTTCGGGACCTAGCCCGTGATACATGATGTCTATACTATTGTTTGTGGACTCTGGGTAAAAAATTTCACGCTCTATCACTTTACCAAAAAAATTCTCGATCATATTTACATCGATATCAATACAATAAATAAATTCACGAAATACACATGCGAAAGTAAACGTGATTCTGTATGCGAAATCAGTCACCAGGGCCAGCTTTATTGATATGATAAGAAAAGTAAAAAATATATATATATACAATATAATTATGTTCTAAAAATGCATTATTCTTTTTTAAATTTCCAGTTTCTATGGGAAGGGTTAATCTCCCTAGATATTTTTTGAATTGACAATACCTTGCGCATTTACGATCATTCCATTCTAAAAATTAAGTATTAGCATCAATAACTTTGTTATATAAATATTTATAGACAATAAATACTTACTCGTAAAATCAATAAAGCATGTACAAATTCCTCTACTTCATCGACTGATTCGTCTTCAAAAGGTATTTTTGCCCGCGAAATGGGAAGGTAATATTTGATACCATTTTCGCGTATCAACCCATGTATTTCTATATACTTACCTGCAATGTTAACACCAAATCCTATATAATTTTTATTAAGAGATCCTTTTTTACAAATTTTAAAAAGCTCTTCTGTTCCGTCTAAACAGAATTGCACTAATTTCTTATGATCATCACGAATTTTTTCATCATTGCAGTTCCACTTCCCACTCTCAAGATACACAATTTCTTCTCATTTTTTGTGGACAAACATACGAATCATAAGGTCCGGTTTATTTCCTCTTGACCCTTTTTGTTGTTGAACCTTACGATTTTTACTAGCTATGCTTTGACACTCGGCTCTTATAACCTCAATTTCATAGCTTATAGGCAGGCGACACATAGCGGTGTCTATTAATCGCGCTATAATTTCTACAAGAGAATTTTCTGAGCCATGAGAAACCTTACGAAGCGCATTTAGTTTTATTTCTTGTAGAAGTACGTCGATAATGTCTCTTACTGCACGTTCTTTACCATATTCTTCTTCAATCCACTGGTTATGCGTTATAATTTCTGATTGCGATAATACAAGTTTGCAAAACTGACTAAGTTCATTTCTTCTTACTACAAAATCGGTACATAATTTTTTAATTCCGGCACTTTTGGTTAAGTCTCTTATATCACCCTTTTCTCCCTAGTAAAATTATGTTAATAGAAACAGTTAACACATTTTTATTAATTAATGGAGTTGATTTTTATTTCATACCACAAGATCTTTATAGTTATTTTCCGGGAGTTGGTATCTATCTGAACTAAAGTCAATTACCCAACGCATAATGGATCGTTTTGTAATAAATCGTTAACTTTTACTCCACAAAGTTTCGCATAAATATGATCATGGGATCACGTCCCTCCATTCTCGAATGCGCTTTTCAAAATAGCTATGTTGTTAGATGCCTCGTTTTTCCAGTCTTTGTATTCTTTAAAATCCCCTTTCAATTCACCCGCATCTATCAACGATATGAGTTCATCACGGGTATAATTGATCTAAAAAATAGAGTGGTTTAATATAGTTAGTATAGTTACAGAACATCATTCTTGTGCAAGTCAGACTCGCCTAATCAGTAATTGCCGGCATTTTTGCTGTCCATAAACAGCATTATAAGTATAATGAAAAAGAACCCTCGTTAGTGTATAACTTAATTCGATCGCATTATACTTATTAATTGGTTACAGACTACATTCATCATTTTTATAAATAATATTGAAATGTTATTTTACTTACTCTATTAATGTCTTGTAATGCTATAATCAGGGCTAGTGTTCCGAGTTGGTAAAATTTCACCAATCGATTAGTTGCCAACTATAGTTGCAACTAATTGATTATGAGATCACGTGCTCAAATTAATCGTTTAGTTGTTTAGTTGTTTAGTTGTTAAGTTGTTAAGTTGTTTAATC